GCGACTTCCTTCCTTTCTCTCTGTCTGTCTGTCCTCTTCTCTCTCTTCTCTATTCTCTCTCTCTCTCTCTCTCTCTCTCTCTCTCTCTCTCTCTCTCTCTCTCTCTCTCTCTCTAATATATATATATATATATATATATTTATATATATATATATATATATATATATATATATTTTTTTTTATTTATTCTTTCTTTCTTTCTCTTCTTTCTTTTTTCTTTCTTTCGCGCCTTAGCACTGGTTATGCACCGTATAAGAATAGAACATTATTACTATTATTGGGAAATGTGTCCTCATACGCCCTCATAAACCCCGGGCGACGCGGCCTCAGACGCTGACCCGTTCCTCGTCTCTTTCAGGAACGGCTCGTGACAGGACAATGGCCGGAGTCCCTGGCGAGCGCTGCTGCTTGTGAGTTGTGAAGTCTCTCCTCGTTTTTTTGGTGTTTTTCTTGTGTGTGTGTGTGGATGCGTTTTGGATACGTGTGGGTGTTTAGATATATGTCCTTACACACATACATACATATACATCACACACATACATGCACACACACACAATACACACACACACACACATACACATACACATACCACATACACACACACACACCACACACACAACACAACACACACACCACACACACACACACACACACACACCCACACACACACACACACAACACACACACAACACACACACACACACACACACACACACACACACACGTACATACACAAAACAACAATCACACGCACACACACGCATGCATACATAACAATCACATGCTGATACCCAAATATACACACATATATGCACAAATATATGTACAGGTATCCAAAGTTTTTTTTTTTATTTATTCATTACATCAATCTTATTTGCTTTTCTCTGTTATTTATTTGTTATTGGCGTTTCTTGCGCTGTTCTCTTTGTTATTGTTGTTGTTCATGATGTCGATACTTTTGTTTTGTTTTGTCGTCATTGTCATCATCGTCGTCGTCATAATCATAATCATCATCATCATCATCATCATCATCATATCATGAACTCAGATGATGATGATGATGATCATCATCAGAGTTCATGATAACTAATAGTTGTTACATTTTTCTTCATTTTCCTATTTTCTTCCCCTTTCCTCATTCCTCCACCTCTTCTGCTCTTCCCTCTTCTTTTTCTGCTTCGTCTTCCTCCTTAAAAAAAAAAGAAAAAAAATAAGAAACTGGACTACTTATAAAAATAACTGGACCACTTTTTAAAAAGTCTCTTTCAGGGGCTGTCACGCGGCACCAGTCAGTGACAGGGTTGCAAAGGGCGGCAGGGATTTCATTTAGATTGGAAACCCTGATCTGTGGCCCGTATCTCACACGCTCTTAACAGGCCGTCGGAGCGGAGGAGGAAACCCCGGGTGGCAGGGGGAGGAGGAAGAGAAGAAGAGGTAGAGGAACAGGAATAAGAGGGGGAGGGGGAAAGGGGGAGGAGGAGGAGGAGGCAGAGGAAGAGGGGGGGAGGAAGAAGAAAAACAAGAAGAAGAAGAGGAAAAGAAGAAGGAATAGGAAGAGGATGGAGGCTAGAAGTGGAGGAGGAAGACAATGACAACGACGAAGATAAAAGTTAGAAAGAAACGAAAAAGAAAATACAGTGCGACGAAGAAGAAGGAATGAAGAGAAGGAAGAGGAGAACGAAGGAACCGGAAAGGAACAAAAACGTCTTGTATCGAGAGAGATTTTTCGCGGTTGTCGACGTCATTTTGGTCGTTTGTTGGCTCGTTGGCTCGTTGGCGCTGCGGGTCGTCCGTGGCGGAGGGTCGTCCAGGGTCTCACTAGGGCAGGAATCATGGCAGGGTAGCCATGGCAGAAATAATGGCAATTCCTAAGGTGGAGCATGGCAGGAATAATGGCAATGCATAAGGTAAGCATGCAGGGAAAATGCATAAGGTGGAGCATGGCAGGAATAATGGGCAATGCATAAGGTGGAGCATGGCAGGGGCACGTTCAAGATGTCTAAGTATGCCAGAAATCATGGCAGGTATCTAATCGTGGCAGAATCGTGAGGGAGTTTGATCATGGTAGAAGCCCGTAACAGGAATTGATCATGGTAGAATCACAAAAAAAACATTTCTTGGCAGGAATCATGGTAGGAGGCTCATCATGACAGAAATAAAGGAAGGAGTCTAAGCATCGCAGTCGACCATGAAAATAGATAAATAAATAAATAAACGAATAAAATATATACTTATTTTCTTTACTCTGGATAACAAAGGAGTCTTGGGTTAAACGCGACGCATGAAAAGGACGAAGGAATATCAAAGAGGTTTACGGGATCGGAATTGAATGAATGGGAGAAAGATTTATGGAAAAAAGTCGTGAAGCTCCGGTATTATAGCCATTGCAGAGAGGGAGAGGACAGGAGGAGGGAGGGAGAGAGAGAGAGGGGGGGCTGGGTGGGAGAGAGGGAGAGGGCGGAGGGAAAGAGAGAGAGGGGGAGGGAGAGAAGAGAGAGGGGGGGAGGGATGGGAGGAGAAGGGAAAGAGGAGGGAGGAGAGAGAGAGAGAGGGAAAGGAGGAGAGAGAGAAGAGGGGGGAGGAGGGAGGGAGGGGGACAGGGTGGAAGGGAAAGAGGGAGGAGAGGGAGTGGGGTAGGGAGGGAGGAGAGGGACAGAGAGAGACAGAAAATTCCAATACAAAAAATAATTTTATATGGAGGAGGCGACATTCTGTTATTTGAGGGAAATAGGAATAATGTTTATTAAAATAGGCATATAAGATTAATCGAAGGTCAGGTCAGATTCTGTTGATGATGTTCAATCCCCCACCCCACCTCTCTCTCTCTTCCCTCTCTTTCTCTCTGTATATGTGTGCGTGTTGTGTGTGTGTGTGTGTGTGTGTGTGTGTGTGTGTGTGTGTGTGTGTGTTGTGCGTTGTGTGGATGTGTGTTGTGATGCATCCACATACATACATATACTATATAATAATATATAATATATATATATATATATTATAAATATATAGATATATAATATATATATATATATATATATATTATATATATATATATATATATATTACTAATTGTGTGTGTGTGTTGTGTTGGTTGTGTTTGTGTATATATATATATATATATATATATATATATATATATATATATATTATAATATATATAATATATATATATAATATATAATATATATATATATATATATAATTATATATGTGTGTGTGGTGTGTGTGTGTGTTTGTGGTATATATATATATATATATATATATATATATATTATATATGTATATATACATGCATACATATATATATATATATATATATATATATATATATATGTATATATATATATATTATATATATATACATCACAACACACACACACACACATGTATATACATACATATGTGTGTGCGTATGCATGTACGTATATATGCCTGTATGTGTATATCCCCCACCAACCTCCCTTCACGCCCCTCAACCCCCGTCCTCTCGCCTTCCCACGGTGAGGGTCTCGGAGCGCCCTTATAGAGACACCTGCGCGCCCACATCCCCCCCAACAGGTGACGGTACTGCAATTAAAAGGTGATTAAGAGCGTCCTTCATATGTTGCACTTAATTACATATCAGCATGCAACATGGCTGTGATCCGAGAACACGCCACGGTGGTGGGTTGTTGTGTTTATTATTATGTTGTATTATTTATTATTATTATTATTTTATTATTATTATTATTATTATTTTATTATTATTAAATTATTTTTTATGTGATTTTTTTTTTTTTGGGGGGGGGGGGTATTTTCCCGATTTTTATTGTTATTTTTCGTGGTGCGTTTTTGATCTGGTTTTCGTTATCACTTGATTTGTTTTTTTTTCTATTGATAATGCTATGCTAATCTGCATTTGCCTTTATCGAGGAGGAAAGGAGGGAGATGATGACAAAGAGAAATATGAATAACGCATGAGAAGAGAAAGAGAGAGAGAGAAGGAAGGAAGGGGAAGAGGGAAGGAAGAGAGGGGAAAGCACACATACTGACCAGCACGCGACTAAAATAATAAAATAATGATAATATGTAAATAAGAAAATAGGATAGATAAATAAAAAAAATGATAATGCAATTAGAAAGAGTTCAAAGAGAAGCTATAAAAAAAACGGAAATGTTAAAACTATGATTCGTATTACGACCCAAAAACCGCAGAGAAAATCAACCCTTTTCGAACGCGCTTTCCTCAACAACAAGTCGATTAGCTTATGTGGGTATTTTAAATTTTATTATTTGTTATTTTTTTTATTTTTTTTTTTTTTTATTTTTTTAGCCGGATTGGGAAAAAATCTTTTAAAAAGACCCAATTGTGAGTTAACAGTCGTGGAATTAGCCGGGGGTGGGGAGGGAGGGGTAAAGAGGGGTGGGTATGGGGGCTGGGGTAGGAGGGGTACAAGGGGGTGGGTAAGGGGGAAGGGAGGAGGGATTGGTTATAGGGGTGGGTATTGGGCAGGGGAAGGGAGGGGTAATTGGGGTATGGATATGGGTGTAGGGAGGAGGGAGGGGTTATAGGGGTGGGTATTGGGGCAGGGGAAGGGGGGTTTATAGGGGTGGGTGGGTATGGGACACGAGGGAGGGAGGGGTAAAGGGGGTGGGTATAAGGGGAGGGAGGGTAAAGGGGTGGGGTATGGGGGCAAGGGGAGGGGGGGTAAAGGGGGGGGTATGGGGGCAAGGGGAAGGAGGTAGATGTGGGTATGAGGTATGTTTGTTTGCATTCCTTTTTTTGTTGTTGTTTGTTAAGGAGAATGGCTGAGGAAGAAAATACAAAAGGAATACCTTTATTCTTTAGTTTTTTTTTTTTTTTTTTTTTGCTTTTCTTTTTTGTATTATGTAAAAAGGAATATGCATGAACAACCAGGGAAGTTTCCTTGATTCTTGTTTTTCTTCATACTCTTATTTTGTCATGTAAAAAAATAAAAGGATAGATATTTCTTCAAAGGTATATTTCCTCTTTTTCACACGCAAAAAGAATAAAAAATGACTAAATAAATGACTAAATAGATGAATAAGAAAGTAAACATTCACAAAAAATAAAAAAAACGCGAAACCACCAGCGCCATCTGGACGTCAACAAAGCAAACTCGGGCCAGTGACGTCATCCATGCCCTGCAGACCCGACGCATAAGGCATCGGGAACCGGAAGTAGACTGGTCCTCATAATTCCGTCTCTTTTGCATGAGGAAGGAGGGCGAATGTTGAATGAGAGGGTAGGGATGTTTTTTTTTTTGGGGGGGGGGGATGGTTGGGTATGTCTCTTGGGTAGGACGACCCCATTCACCCCCCTATCACCCCTACCCCCCAAATAATCTCGGGCTTGTCTTTCTCTTTAAATTCAGCTTGTTGTGACACCTGTTTTTTTTAAAGGTTATTATTG